AAGAAGGTATATTTGCAAACCTTGATTCGCTTTTTCAATAAATTCAGATGCAGAAGTACTTGTGTTAGGGGGATCAAATGTCGACAAATGTTGAGACTGAGAGTGTGTGCTTCTGTATCTTTGAATGCCTTCATGCCAACCAGATTCCCCATATGGAAAGAGTAATGGATATTGCAACGAATCATAACATCCATAATAGTAATGAACTCTATGTGAATTACTAGAATATCCATATATAATAATATCACGAACACGAACATTAACATTTTCATCATCTTCAACCCATATAGCAGCTACTTGAGATGCAGTAGGAGTATTGAAAACTCTTTGATCAAGTCCAGGATCGCATTGTATCTGTATTTGATGGTCATGCAAGTTAGTTATATCACTTAAAGATCTAAAAAATTTACTATATAGATTTGTTTTCAAAATTTCAATTAAAACGATCAACGTAGGCTCAGCAAAATTAGATGATATTTTCATACGATTTTGAACTTCATTATCTGTATCGTAAAAATATAATTGCTTATAAGAAGGGGAATTGTTTTCGGGCACAAGTTGATTTACATAATGATGTACTTATCCTTGAATTCTAAATGTGTAAATACCTTTATAGGCTTTAAAGAGGTCTTTGTCGTACTGTACACCAAATGAAGTGAAAGCAAAATGATTATTATATGCACTTACACTTTTCTTGAATTCAATGCAGCTCAATTCTTTAGAAGTAAATAAATTATATAGTTCACTTGGTGAATTAGGCATGAAAAGTTTGATTTTTCCATCAGAACAACAAAAACATTTAGTTTCTCTATAAAATTTACGGGCATTACAATGCTTACAATATATGGATGTTGGTAATACATAAGCAGTAGATGGCACAGTCAATCCATTAAAAGTTCCTTCTAATTCAAAATTATAAATATTATGTGGTTCATTATTTGAAGTAGAAGCATGAGGATCGTGATGCATTATAGATTCATGCAATTGGGTAACAACACAAGAATTATTTTCCAAAATAATAG